GAGCTGCTCCCCACCATTCACCACGTTTTTAGATATGACTTGAATGAAATGCAGCTGACATTTAACATGCAAAGCTTGAAAGAAGCACAGCTCTCCAGAAATGTGTGCATTTGTTATGTTGTTTCGGGGGTGAAGACTGATCAGTGGTCTATATCCACGTGTTGAAACCTGCCTATCATAACACAAATTAGATGAACAATAAAAAGATGAAAAATATAGGCAATCATAAATAAAATGGGACTCAATATCAACAGGGACACAAAGAGCACTCCACAGTGGGTATTAAAACAAAGCCCATCCTCACCCCACCCATCCTTTCAGGAAGAGCCTGAGTAAATAAAAAGACTTTCAAAGAGCACAGAAGGCCAACAAATGCAACTTCTATAGACTGAGCCTGCCAGTGAAATTTGTCACTGAGGATGTTTTACTGACATTCTTCATCTGACATAAGTTTAGAGCTACCCAAGTTGACAGATGTCACTTCAACTGCTGTGGTCTTAGGTAACGAAGGGCGAAGGTCTTAGAAGTGGGTTGGGTTGCAAGTGGAGGTGCAGAAGTTTGGTACAGGATGAATGATCTCATTTCTTTTGTGGACCACAGACAGAATCAATCTGTAATACATGTAAACACTTCTAGCTAACAAAGTTGTATGGGAAAGAGCTTGCTAAATAGGTACAGTTGCAACGAATTGAAGTACATGTTATGAGGGCACTGCTAAGGGTGCAAGATATTTTTTGCAGGCAGGAGAAAGGGAAAAAAAACTGACATTTGAGTGAACTGTGGAGGAAAGAATAGGCAGATATGGGCTGCCTTTTGAAATTAAAAATCTTAGAAGTTTTTTCCTGTTTGAAATTATTTCAGATATTTCTGGCACTCTTGAAATGGAGTCCAAATTCACATCCAGAGCAGTTCTTTCTCTCTGCCTCCTCCAGAATGGAGTAGTGTGATCCAGCTCCAATTAAACAGTTTTTTTCTACTCCTTTGAAAAATGAAAAAGATTAGATTCCTCAGGTTTAGCTTATGACTCCCTGAGAGCAGGTAGTGCTCCAAATTGTCAAGCCTCTCCTTAATCAGAATACACACTGTTTAGAACAGGCACCAGACCTTCCCCTATATTTATAAATTGTCTACTGTGGCAAGCCCCTGAGCTTGATGGGGAAATTTCAGTGCTGTCATAATTCAGACAATAATAATAATGTTGTAGTACTGGGCAAGGAACTCTAAACCAAAAGTGCCTTGGATAATGTTTGAACTGATTTGCGGTTCCAAGTGGAAACCAGTTGAAGCTGGATTCTATGAAACAGTTTCAGCCCCATAATCATCCTAGCTATTACCAAGCTTCTTGCTGGGTTATAACTTTGTATAAATTCAGTGTTTAGTGTAAAACACAGAGTGCCAAATCTCTCTGAAGAAGTCCTGAGGCAGATGACCACACTGCCTACATTCTCAATTCAGCAGAGTTGTTTTCCACTCAAGGCTGTAGGGTCCCCCCCATTCAGTCCAAGGACAATGTTTTTAGACTTACACAAAAAATCAGGAGATCTGCTGTTGACTTCAGCAGGTTTGGGGCTTCAGTCCTGGAGATATAAATCTGTCCTGCTCACTCAACAGGGCAGAACATCTCTTCTTACTTGTTATCACTACCTAACCTGGTGGGAAGTGTCCTCTCACATAGATGAGATGCTCAGTCTCCTGTACTGGAGTTCTATTGTATGGGAAGACTTAGCCTTATTACTTTACTAGAACAACTTACCAATAACACATAGAGGTTACATTGCTTTTTCTCATGTCAGAAACATAAAGAAAGTAACAGGAGAGCAGCCAAGGTTGCTAATTTTTTTCTATTACTTGATGTTGAGACCCAGAACATGTTGTCTTTGATAACAAGGTGTAGAATGGTGTGTTGTGGTTTCATTGCATGTGATAGCTGGAACAGCTAATTGTAATTCTTGCCTTCAAAGACTTTGAACAGTTATGTGGAAGGTGACAAATGGACATAAGTTTAGTTTAATTTAGTTGCTGGGTGTGGATGCATGCTGGGCAGCAAGGCTGCTCTCCAAGGCTGGAGAAACAACACAGGCCAACATGGGTCATCAGGTTTGCATCTGTCTGATATACAGACTTGAAATCTTGGAGTCACATTTTTTATTATTTGCTTATTCTTGGTTTAAACAATGTCAAAAGATGTAGGCAAATGGAAGATGAGCTTCTAAGAGCTCCCAAATTGATTTTGCTTGTAGTGGATAGCTAAGGAGAGCTGTAACAGTGGGAGAGTGAGCATCAATCTTTCCACTCCCAGTGGAGGGTGCATGAATTCATGTGTCAGCCCATGGTTTACTTATCTATGTGAAATTAGTTCAACACTAGACAGCAGAGAAGCAAGTAGCTACTTAGATAACTAAGGAAAAGAGAGCAATGTGCCAGCCAAATGAGGGTGAATGAGCTCAGTGCTTGAGGTGAATGGAGATGAACACTGCAGTCAGAAGAGTCTATTTTTCATCAGCAGAAATGGTGTTTGCCTAACTTGCACCATCTTTCCTATGACTGAATTTCTCATGGAAAGTCAGTGGCAGTTAGAGTGACTATGTTGAATTGTTTCATAAATGATCCTGCTGTCAGTTTGCCCATGGCATGATCATTAGCCTGTTAATTAACATAGCCACCTAAACCTGCTTTTTCATCTTACTCTACTGTCAGTCAGGTCTACTCCAGCAAAGCTTGTATTCCAGAGGCAAGAAAACAGCCTATAAAAGTACAATCTGGGAAGCAGTGTTAACATAATTTTTAAGAAAATGTGAAACAGATCTCTAAAAACCTGTTATTAGTTGTTCATATGACTATTTCCAGATTACTGGGCATGTTGCATGTATCCCTGCTGGTGAACAGAAATGAATATTTAAGGTGATTCTTATGGATGGAGCTCATATCTGGTGCACATTTTCACTGTAGGAAAACTGCTGTGATGTGTAGTAAGGCAGTGGATATACTTAAAAGTATGTCAAGAAAGATTATCAGCTTTCTTAACAGATGATCTATGTGCTAAATTTCCAAGGACAGGAAATGTATATCTGTTTAATGGGTATCATTTTGTGGAAACTTTTTGCTTAGGGTATTTTTTCTTTCCCCTTTTAGTTTGCTGAGCAAATGTTGGTTTTAAAAAGGCATTTGAAAAAGGCTTTTAGAAGCAGTTGTTCTGGCTGTGTAGGAGTGTTCTGTGTGGGTACAGGGAGCAGGATAAACTACTTCATCCTCATGTGGTCTCACTGCAAAGACAACTCCTGGGCCATAGGCACTGGGAATCGACTGAGTCGTGGCTGTTATTCAGCTGCCACAATCTAAGAGCAGTGTGACCTCTCCTGTGCCCTCACATTAGGCCTTCAGAGCTAAAAAGACCATAGGCTTCTTGCAGCCAGAACATCTTGCTGATGAGTGGGCTGTCTGTGGTCAGTTTGCTAATGCAGATTTATTCCAGAGAGAGTCTCTTTCTTCTGCAAATTAAAGACCCCATTGGGTTTTTATTGTATTCACATGCTTTCTGTTCTAGACCTAAATGAAATGTTGATCCTCCTTTAAATTGCTTACAAATGGCAGGAAGTGTTTTTCCTTACCTTCCCTGCTTCACCTCTAGTGCTTTTAATTTGTCTCCTTCCTTTCTTTCTCGTCCCCCCACTGGGACCCTTCCTGGCTATGCTGCTCATGGTTTCCACTCACTTTAAGAGGAGCAGGTTCTATAAAGAAAAGGTTGCAAGCTCTTGAAGCAGAGCATGAAAGCAATGAATCAAATTCTTTGGTGCACTGAGGATGAAAATGGTGTTCTAGGTCTGGCAAGTGGCTCAGCCATATATTACATTTTAAAATCTTAAAGCAAAATTGGGATAATTGATTCCCTGTTGAACCTATACTTTCAGCCTTCTTTCAGCAAAGGAGAAAAATAGCATCAGCACAAGGTGACAGGAGAGGTTTGGGCCCAAAGAGGCTGATGGATGGCTAAATCAGAATATTTTAGCTGTTTTTCATGTTAAAACATTCCTTGCAATGCAGAGCTCTGTTTTTTTCTCTATGTGCATGGCTGTACAGCTAACTTAAACGTGTGACTGTGTAAGGCAGGGTGATTTCTTAACCACAATGTATCAGACCACTGCTGGGAGCAGAGTAAATTAATGTCCTGACTGGGTCTAGCATGTGTTAGCTTCCTAGTTCACTTTCCCTGCACACAAAGATAAGAGGAATGCAGGCCTTTCCCTCTATCTCACACAGCAATAATGCACCTCAGCAAAGATTTGAATGGGCCACAGGATTATTAGGATTGTAAGGTCTTGCTTGTCTTTTCAAGTAGGATGAAACTAAATGTAATCATCTGTTGGGTTAGATGAATACAATGGCTTCTCAGCTGTAGGCTTTCATCACTGCAGTGATCTTGTATGATTTGGCCTGGCAGGGCTCTGGGCTCACAAAAATTTTGTGGGCATCAGATGTTTGGCATCCAGAACCAAGCACTGAGAGCCGTTGTCACACTTGTGTCTCCCTGCTTTCTAGTCTTTAAAAAGCAGAATAATGTCACCATTTTCAGCATGTGATATTTAGAGGAAACTAATGAAAAGCTGCTTGGCTAAGTCCAATTTCAGTGGTGTGGGTTTGTATGCTAGTCTGCTCAAATGCTGCTGTGAGCACACTGGGAGGAGCGTGGCACAGGGTGGCAGGATGTTAGCACAGCTACAGAGCTGGGCTTTTACAGTCTTCATGTTTTCTAGGAGAAAACTGAGAGTGTGATGTGGCTGCTGCCTTCACTGTGACTATTTTGTCAAGTTCACTTCTGAAAAGCAGAAGAAAACCAAACTTGGAAATTGTGTCTCTCAACTCCACAGCAAATTTTCTAAACAGCATATGGAGCAGCCACTGCAGCCATGCTTACTGTGCTCTGGAAACTGCTTTTTGTAATTTTGCCAGTGTCCTATATGCTATAACACCTTTATTTCCATATCCAAAATGCTCTATTGCAGGCTGTCCTACCAGAGAAATGATGATGATGACGAAGAAGCCGCCAGAGAACGTCGCCGAAGGGCTCGGCAGGAGAGGCTGAGGCAAAAGGAAGAAGGAGATCTCTCAGGAGAAGTAACAGAGAAATCAGAAGTTAATGCCCAAAACAGGTAAATATCTGATGCTGTTTGCTGTTGTTTGTTGTTGTTTGGCTGTTGGGAGTAGAGAAGTGTTTCGAAGAGATTCGGGATTTAAATTTTAAACATTGGGTTTGTCCATCCTTGCTCTGAAGCAGGACCCAGCACTGTGAGGAGGATGCCTGGCTGTGTCTACACAGCAGAGTGGGAGGATCACTGACTCTGGGCTCGAGGCCATGCTCATGACCCATATCCAGCATGTCCTCAAGGCTGTCTGTGGGATAATTCAGCCAGGGCTCGTGGAGGCTGTCAGAGTCTCTCAGGCCTGTCTCTGGCCTCACAAACCACATCTTTTGTCCTGCTGATAAGGGTCATGGCATTCTAGGGGTCAAGTAATATGGGCTAGGCAGGAACACAGGCCTCATGATGCATATCCATGCCTGCAATGTGCTGGATATGAGCTCTAGAGCACAGAACTCATCTGGCATTGTCAGTGTCACACAGCAATGAACAGCAGAAAAGCTTATGGAATGAGGTGACCCTTGTCACATGCTGAGTGGGCAGAGCTGGACTTCCAGTCTGTCCATAATTTGTTCAGTTTCACATAGACACTAATATACCCAGATTTCCTCTGTTCACAGCACAATTCATAGAATAGACCAGAATTAAACATTGTGATATCAAGCTAATAGACACTGAGCACAAGTAGCATTCTATTAAAGACAAGGAGAGTAGGTGGAGATAGAAAAACAACAGCATTTCTGATTGTCAATTATAATCTTTTTCTACAATAGAGAGAAAAAGCAAAAACTAGAAAGAGGGAAGAAACCTGCACACATGGCAATTAAACTGTTGAATTTTAAAGGAGCCAAAAAATCTCCAAGGGCTGAGAGTGAGGTCCTGTTCTGATACCTACAGCTGTTGGATAGCATGTCTTAAATTAGTTGCTGTTTTCTAACCATGTATTGTCCTTGTACAGCCAATCACAACCTCACTGCACATTAATTGCCAGGTTGTCCCATTGTGGTTGGTATCTGTGGCTGCTGTTGCTGAATAGGAATAGTTTCTTTTTGCTAGAGAAGCTCAGTGGAGTCAGAAAACATCTTGCTTGTGTAGCATCTTCAAAACTTTTGACTGTGGGGAAGGTTGTGCCTAAGACACACATGTCTCAGGCCAAGCTGAAAGGGGCCCCTAAAGCAAGCAAAGGTCTTCCAAGTATTCTGCAGTAGGGTGCAGAAGGGGAGGATGAATTTTTCAGAGCAGTTCAAATTTCAGCTCATCAAGTGCCAGGGACCATTCCAGTGCCTACCAAAGTCAGGAAGATTCCTTGGGACTTCAGTGGCCTGGAAGGAAACCTTTGCAGGCTCTGATATTGTGAAACACCACATTCCTATACACATAGAAATGCCAACATTAATCCCCAGAACCGTTTTGCTAAATTTTGAACTGTGTAACCTGTTGTGTTTTCAAACCATGGAATGATATTTACAGGATTATTTTTTTCTAGAAAGAGTGAAGTGCATACGTTGTTAGAGAGATTTTTGTTTTAATGTGAAATTGTCACTTTTATGCAGCGTGGCAGAAGAGGAAAGCAAACGTTCTACAGATGATGAAGCTGCATTGTTGGAGAGATTGGCAAGACGGGAGGAGAGACGCCAAAAACGTCTACAAGAAGCCCTGGAACGTCAAAAGGAATTTGACCCCACAATCACAGATGGAAGTTTGTCAGTGTCCAGCAGGAGAGAAGTAAATAATGTGGAAGAAAATGAGACCACGGGGAAAGAGGAAAAGGCTGAAACACGTCGAGGACGCTATGAGATTGAGGAAACAGAAACAGTTACCAAATCATACCAAAGGAACAACTGGAGACAAGATGGGGAAGAGGAAAAAAAAGAAGAAAAAGACAAGGAGGAGGTACAGGAAGAGAAACCAAAGGAGGTCCCCATAGAGGAAAATCAGGTAGATGCGACAGCAGAGGAACACAAAGCAGAGAATGATACAAATGCTGTGGCAGAAGGGACACAAAGTATAACTGACACTGTAGATAAAGAGAAGCTTAAGGATGAGGAGAAGGCTGAGGAAGAAAGGAAGAAAGCAGAAGAAAGGGAGAGGTTAAAAGCAGAGGAAGAAAAGAGGGCAGCTGAGAAAAAACAGAAAGCAGAAGAGGAGAAGAGGGCAGCTGAGGAGAGGGCTAAGGCAGAAGAGGAGGAGAGGGCTAAGGCAGAAGAGGAGAAAAGAGCAGCTGAGGAGAGGGCTAAGGCAGAAGAGGAGAAGAGGGCAGCTGAGGAAAGAGAGAGGGCTAAGGCAGAAGAGGAAAAGAGGGTAGCTGAGGAGAGGGCTAAGGCAGAAGAGGAAAAGAGGGCAGCTGAAGAAAAGGCTAAACTAGAAGCAGAGAAATTAAAGGAAAAACAAAAGATGGAAGAACAGACACTAGAAGATAAACAGGTAAAAGAGAAGAAAGTACAAGAGGAAATACCTCAAGCAGCTTCCCTAAAAAAACAGGTACAGTAAACATTTTGCACCAAGATAAGACACCTGTGGTTTGTGAGAAATGTAATGCAAGAAAAAAAAAAGATTGATTTGGAATTTCCTCACAGATCTATCCTTGCATTGAAATGACTAATACTCATGCTATTGCTCTCTCTTGCACTCTCTTTCTAAAAATAAACTCCTTCTGCTTACCAATACTTCAGTGCACAACATGCCTGACCTCACCCCATCGTTCAAGGAAAACCTTGCATGTTCAGACCTCTGCATGTTCTTTTGCTATCTTTCTTTTTTTTTCCTCAGCTGCTATAAACTGGCTTCATGCAGTAACACATGAGGTGGAGGCAGACACATTTTGGCACAAAAAGATTATGAGCACCTGGTAAACTGTGTGAGGAATGTTGTGTGTAAAATGCAATCACAAGAGAGAGTTCTCTGCTGGGACATGTGAGCACGATGCCACGCAAGGGAGAAAGGCCCAGCTGGGGGAATGGGAGCATTTGGAGAGGGTGGAGGGAGCACAATTGCACATGGAAATGTGGGCACAGCAGCATATGATGGAGTTGTGGCTGCACACAGAATTGGTACCTGAGCACAGTGCACAAAAGTGCAAACAGATGTGATGTTTTTGTATTAAAAAACCCATAAATATTGAAAATCCAAAAACAAAGGAGGAAGAAAAAGAGGTTAAAGCAGAAGCTAAAAAGGAACAGTTGCCAGAAGAGAAGCTCCAACCTACCTCCATAAAAGATCAGGTAACTCATAACCCATTGACTTAAATGTGGTAGGGAAACTTGAGATAAGAAAACAGATAAGGCTTCTATAACTGAAAGTTGCTTCTTCAGCAAAATACTTAAGCACAT